AATTAGAGGTATATGGTAAAATGATCTTGCAGATAGGAAGCACAGAACAATAAAATCCCTATACCACAGAAGTAAATAATGGAGAAGACCCTCTAGGTCATCTAGTCCATCTCTGCCAAAGCAGGATTGTTCTCCAGTGTACACTTACTAATATTTTGTCCTGTCTCGTTGTAATTACTTAAGAAATGGGACTTCCATCACTTACCTGGAAACTACTTCCAAGCCTCCGATCTCACTGCTGGAAAGCTTTTCTTGATAGTCTGCCTGCCTACATTTTGCTTTCTTAAATTTCAGTTTATTAACTCCTAAATATTCCACCATTTATTAGCCTAAACATTTCATGTTCATCTTTGGTGTTTACAGTCTACAAATATATTTGTATTTTTATATTATTTAGATTCATACAAACGGTAAAAGGGGCACCTATCCAGAGCTTAGCCAAGCAAAATATATTTAACTCAATCTTTCCTCAGATCAGTCCCCCCAACTCCCTAAAAAGTTTGTTGCTCTTCTCTGAGCAACCTCCAGTTAATCAATACATTTATAACAACAAGAATCTTAGTATTTCCAGGGGCAGTCATACCAGAAGTGTAGTTATACTGAACAATTATCTTCCTACTCCATAGCATATAACTTCAGATAGCTTTACAAACTTATATCTCATTTCCCCCCATTGTTATAATCCAAAATCTTTCATTATACTGCTTTCTAAGTTTCTCACTCCAATTGAATATCTATGCTTCAATTTCGTTTTTCTCACGTTATTAGCTGGTTTCTTTTCCAAGTTGAGGCTAATTTTATTTTCTGCCCAGCTCCCTTTTGGGATAGGGTATTCTTGCAGTTGCAGCAAAGGACTGAAGTGCATGAGAGCTTCACTTTGTCTGGACCTATGCAACAGGCTTCCTGTGCAATCTTGGGCATGTCACCTTACCTCTCTGTCCCTCAATTTCCGTAAAGTGCTTTGAAATCTTTGAATGGAAGGCACTATAGATCTGTAAAGTATTACCATCTACAGATTTAATTTGCTAGTAGTTCCTTCTTCTAGACCATTGCTAACCCAAACTGATCCCTGCAGTACTCCACAGCTCCCCAAACATGATACTTCACCATTTATCACCACACTAAGTTCCTTCAGTCAGTTTTGAATGTAAGATTTTGAGACACTATATCATACAATTTCCTAAATTCCAGTAATTTTATATCTACCACTTTTCCCTCATTCACTAAGTTTGTTTTATCATAAAAAAGCAACCAAATTGGTCGGACAAGTTCTATTCTTTTTATAAACCTATTCTGCTGGTTGTTCATGGCTCCACTGCCACCAGCTCAGAGAGATTTTCACTGAAAAGGGAAAGACTGACTTACAGGGCTGTTATTGCTCGGATCATCACTTCACTGTTTTTAACAATTGGAACTACATTTATTTCTCTTTAGTTTTCTGTTACAACCCCGGTTTTCAATTACTTAAAACTGGCTAGGGACTGTAAAGAAAAGGGGGAGGGGAGAGAAAGGCATCTAGTGGAGAACTGCAAGAATCCAATCTTATTTAATAAGGGGCAAATGAACAGGATTCCAGTTAACGAAAGTCATGTGGACAAATCTCTCCCACTGTGGATTACCAGCTCAAAAAATCTTCTACAAAAACAGATGCCTAGAAAGAGAGCGCATTGAGGACACAACGCCCATCCACCCACCACAACCAGGAGCACTGTTTTGCCCCCAAGTGTGCTCCCAGATGCCACTAAGGCCAGCATATGAGAGCCTAGATGTCAGTCTCGAACGTCTGTCTTCCGTATGGTAAAGTGCACTGAACTACATTACCAGCCTCACAACTATCTGATGTCATTTAAAACTACTTTATGCAGAAGTAGCCACAACTATATGCTTGGAACACTGGATATTCATGCATATAATGTACACAGATTAAATAGTTTTAAAAGTCTAAAGGTGGGTAACTCAGTGCTGTAGTACAACATACTCGTTATTCAGGACAACAGCATTCATGAGCAGACAACAGGCTCAATCCCTGGATTGACGGCACATTCTGACTGATAGGATGCCATTTGCAAATAGTTTCAGAGCAAAACTGGCATGAACCTCTGTATCTGGAATTCTGAAATTGAAGAGCAACCCAAGCGAAAATGACAGGTTTCAGAGTAACAGCCGTGTTAGTCTGTATTCGCAAAAAGAAAAGGAGTACTTGTGGCACCTTAAACACTAACCAATTTATTTGAGCATAAGCTTTCGTGAGCTACAGCTCACTTCATCGGATGCAACGAAAATGTATTTCCATTATGTAGCTATATAAGCTATTATGCATGTCAATAAAAGCCAAGTCTATTTTTTGTTTCAGTTATGCTTTAGTTTCACACACACACATTCTCTCATCCAGATAGCACTGTCCTCTCCATTATCTCCACATGATGGTCTGCTGCAATCCCTAACCCCTGCAACTATGACTCTCCCGATATTTAGTTTTTAAAATTATATTAAAGAGGGAAAATAGCAGAAACACAAGACAAGAAAAAACCTGGTGAGAACCCCAAGTTTCACTCTGTTTCTATGTCAGTAGTAAAAGGCAAACCCTACAGTAAGTGGCAATAAGAACACAGATAAGCTGTAATAGAGACTCCTAAAAAAATCCAAAAATAGAAGAGAAAGCTAAACACCTTAACTATAACTGGCCTTGTCTTTTTCATTCTCTGAACCTAACATTATAATAATGCCTTTAAACTATTTATTTGAAAACAATAGTGTAGTTACCAACATTTAAAAAAACAACAACAACAACAACTTTTTACTAAGATTTTTAAATAAAAATGCAAAAGTGAGTATTTTTCAGGTGAGTTTTTCCACCATGTGAAAAAGAGAGGGTTCTCCCAGTCGGTTACATTACAATAATCTGAAGTTACAATTAAAAAAATAAATGTACAAATGAATCTGGAGATTAGAAAATTAGTAATGCAAAATACCTAATAAAATTCAGGGTTTAAATTATACAGATGTCCTATAGTTAGTGTGGAGGAGGAGTAAGGAGAAAAAAGGCAAAAATCACAAACCAACGTTCTGCTGGGTTTTTTTCCTGCATACCTAAGAAAGACAATAGCAGTGGCCTCTGCAGTGATTTGTTTCCCCCTTTCTTTGCCTCCTCCACATCTTTATAGCTGTAGCTCAAGACACTCAAGACCCTATGTTTCAAACTCAATTGAACAGTGTAAAGTATCCTCATATCCTCCTCGTGAGGTGTTCAGTGCCTCTGAATTCAGACAGAATAGAACTGGGCACACTGCTACACACTGCAATTGAACAAATTTTATTCAGAAATTAATTCCAAGGCTTTCCAGAACTCAAAATAAAGTAATATTGAAAAAGGGTAAATATTTACAACACCATAGCAGACCAATGGCCCATCTATTTCAATTTCCTGTTTGACAGTGACCAGTATCAGATATTTCAGAGGAAAGTGTAAATCCCCACATAATGGACAATTCTGCAATGACATGCCCTTTGGAAAAGACTCTTCCTAGCCCCAAGTAATTAGTAGATGCCTTCTGTCTAATCACACAAGATTTTATAATCAATTTCATCCTAATTAGTGTAAATGCATATATAACGTAAGTCCAACCCTTTTTTGAATCTTACTAAACTACTGGCCTCAATAACATCCTGTGGCAATGAGTGCCACATGTTAATTATGCCTTGTGGAAAAAAGTACTTTTATCAGTTTTAAATTTGTTTTTAATTTTCTTAGATTTTTTAATATATTTTATTATACAGATGACCTGGAGCTCCCTTTTCTTTTCTTTTCTTTTCTTTTCTTTATGCCACTCATTATATATACTCCTATCACACCACCTCTTAAGTGTCTCCTCTCTAAACAAACTAGTCCTAACTGTTTTAGTCTCTTCTCACATGGAAATCTTCACAGTCACCTATGTATTTGTTGCCCTTCTATGGGCCTGTTCTACAATATTTCATTTATATCCTTCTTGAGATGGAGGTGTCCAGGATCAAGTATAGTATTCTATGTGAGGGCATGCTGGGAAGTTAGACAGTGATATAATATTTTCAATAGTGTCATTCCTTTTATAATGGAGTTCAACATTTTGTTGCTTTTTTAGATCATTGCCGCACACTGAGCGGAAGTTTTTATCGAGCTATGCATAGTGACACATATTCTTTTCTCGTGAGTGATAACTTATTAGGATCCAAAGTGCACCATGAGCTCAAATTACCCCTTTCAATGAGCATTACCTTGCACTTATCTACAGTGAATTTCATGTGCCATCATGTTGTCTAACTGCCTAGCTTTAGGTCTCTTTGGAATTCCTTATTCTCTAGTTGACTTATCTAAATAATTGTGTCATCTGCAAATTCTGCCAACTTCACATCATTGTCTTGATGATTAATAAACTAAACACTGATATGAGTTATGGAATCTTGGGGCTTCCCACTGTTAACCTCCTTCCATGTTTAAAATTGGCCTTGTTTCCTGATATTTATCTTCTGTCTCAGAGACAGTTTTTAATCTACGAAACATTAACCATTCATTTTGTGACTTGATTTCTTAACTTCTTGCAAGGGAATATATTAAACTCTCTTAAAAATCATCACATTAGGAAATAATGAGAACCTACAGAGATACTATCTGAGCACCTCAAAACAGTAAACTTTGCCTCAGTTACCTATCTGAAAAATGGGGATAATACTTCTCTACATCACAGGGCTATTGCAAGGATGAGAGTCATTTTAAGAGACTTGCCCACAGACACACAGGAAGTCTGTGCCAAAGATGTGACTCAATATATCCAAAGTCCCAATCTTGTGCCTTAACCACAAGGCCATTCTTACTTCGTCAACTATTTTGCTGACTGTCTTCAATCATTCAAAAAGAATCAGGCAAAAAAACCCCTTTATATAATCTATGCTGGTTTGTGTCTACCTTACCATGCAAGGTGTTTTACAATTTTTTTTGTTATATACCTATAACAGTACTATACCTAGTACTGAAGTAAGGCTCAAAAGTCCGTAGTTCCCCGGGGCATGCCTTGCACCTTTTAAAAAGAAAAGTAGATTAGCTAACTTTCTGTCTTGAGTATAGTACGTGATTTTAATTATATATACTTTTTTTTCGTCACCAGCTCAGCCATTCCATTCTTAAGTTCCTTCAGAATTCTTGAATACAAACCATCTGGCCCTGGTGACTTGTTGCTTTTTAAATGATCATTTCGTTCCAGCACCTTTTGTCAGCTCAGTTTCTTACAGTGACCCATCTTTATCCACAAAGAATAGGTCGAGGAAGGTATTCAAAATTCCTCTACAGTGACTGCAGAGGCAAAAACTAATTAGCTCCTTAGCAATGTCCTTAACTACACTTTTCAGAGTAGCAGCCGTGTTAGTCTGTATTCGCAAAAAGAAAAGGAGTACTTGTGGCACCTTAGAGACTAACAAATTTATTTGAGCATAAGCTTTCGTGAGCTCATCATCGGATGCATTCAGTGGAAAATACAGTGGGAAGATTTAACTACACTGGGTTTCTCTCTTTTACTCCATGGTAGTCTAGCAGATCTACTGACCTTGGAGGCTTCCTGTTTCTGACATACTTGAAGAATTCCTTGTTCTTTGCTGATTAACTTTGGCTATTAACTGTTAAAATTCCCTCTTGACCCTCCTAAGTTCCATTTTACCATTTACCTGTCATGGTTTACTTTCCTTGTTACGGAATTCACCATGCTGTATTTCCATTTGACAGATACCCTTCAGACACGAATAAAATCCAGTGCATCTTGCCATTCAATGACAAATGTTTTCCTTTTTGCTGAGGAGCATATCACATACTTTCTGATACGGCAATATCGTATGCTTAAATATCCCCTGTACTAATTCTAACGATTTGAATGTAGCTTTTGATTTTAAAGTATTTTTGTCATTTTTAGATTCCTCCCTTGTTTACTCTACTAGATTTCCTCATACAGTTTGCTGCACTCATGACCCTAAGAACACATACCATTTTCTCATATATGTAACTCACATCTTGAGTGGGAAACCACAAGACTCTACTACTTTCTTGGCAAAAAATCTTCTTAATCTGTGTCAGTTTACACCGACATGCAGGCTAACACTGGTAACAGATGAGAATGGAATTATGCCATTTACACTCAGTTCCTTTCAGAAACTTCAGTGATCAGATGGAGAAATCAGATTATTGCTCTCGGGGGGGGGGGGGGGGGTATTTTGTTTCTAACAGGGATCATGTATGTCCACTTAATAGAAAGAGGGCCATCTTTCATATTTACTCCAGGCCAACATGTCATGACTGAAGGCCAGCACGTATCATGCATGCCACAGCAAGTAATTTTCAATTATCCTTGTGTAGCAATTCTGCAGCATACACAATTGTTTGTTCTGCATCAAGCCTTTATTAACACACTGATAAAGTGTTTACAGTTAATGTATCCATGTTATCAGTGACCATGTGTGTAGAGGTCTGTTTACCTTGGGAAAATATGAATATAACGTAGGGTGGAGGCAACAAGGGTAGAGGAGGGTGTGTGTGTTCGTTCAAGAAAAATTACTAGTTACAACCCTGGAATTGGTTCTTTAAAAATAATTACGTTCGTGACCTGTGCGTCTAGGTTTTGAATTTTCATGATGTTGGTACTGGAGCCCCAAGATCCTCATGTTTGAGTATCTTATGAAAAGGACAAGATCTGAAATGTGGCATTCATTTATTATGCTTTGTTTCACAATTCTTTTAGTAAAAACCTACCTTGCTGATCTGTGGCACGTAACTGCCTGAAACATGACTTCAATTGCTTCCTGTTGGTCTTACACAGATGGATTTCTGTAGTTAACTTTTAGTAAGTGCCCCTCCAAAGTGGAGGCAGTGCTTTTTAAACATTTCCTGTTCTGCAGGTCTGCTGCAGAATTCCACTTACTGAATCGCTTCCTGCATACAAGACTGAACAATACAAAGGATCTATGAACTCGGTTTGCAACAGAAAAAAGTAAAATCTGACTGGGTTACCTTCAGTTTTGTTTTCTGATGCATTTTCACCTATCCCTCCTTCAGTATTAGCTACTTTTCATTGTTCTAAAATCCTCTCTCAAAAACTAACTTGATTAAGTTGAAGTTTTCAGAGGAAAATGTATGAAACTTTCAGGAATTCATATAAAGCTCATCAGCTTAGTGTCCTGGCCAAGGCAGGCCACACCCTGCCACTCCCTTTTATTTGTATAGATCAAAACAGTGGACAAATAATAAACTGAGACTAGAACTTGGGGTGAAGATTTGCAGGAAATGCCCAAAAACAGCTTGCTCAAGCAAAATAAAAAATGCGTTTCAAACAAAATGAGCTCTGATTTCAAATAGCAAAATAAGGATACATTTTGTATTCTTGCCATTAGCAGGCTAATTTAGAAAAAGTATTTGCACATTTCTACAACTCCTGGTATTATTAAAGCTTTTATTGTATACACGCAACTTGCAAAAGATCAATCTTCATTTCAAACTTCCTAAATACAAATCCTTGAGACCTTTCTTTCTGTGTTCTGGTTACAAGTGACCCAACTGCTTAACTTTGACAGAGACCATTTCAAGGTTACATCAAAATAGTTTTGGTCTAGTTAGTATCTAGTTACAGGTACTGTATTATCTAATTTGTTATAATAGGTTCAATTTGAGAAGCTTCTGGGATAATTATTTTAACTTTCCCTATAAGAAACTCATACCTGCTTTCAGGCATTTGTGACGTTCTGAGCTGAAAACAGACATGATGACAAGAGGATTACCTTTGCAATGCCTCTGTCATGATTGTACTCAATGATTCTTATGAGAACCATACACTGATCTGGCACTGGAATCCAGGAATGAAAATTTTCACTTACCGCAGTGCGACTGGAAAACCTGTGGCTTGACTACCTGATTGCAGATATTGCACACTACTAGATAGAAATCGTCATGAGCTGGATAATGGCCAAATAAGTGCATATCTGTGGGAAAGTTAAAAAATATATATAAGTATTAGAAGTTATGCGTTAAGAGTATATTTAAAAGAAATTAAAGATACTGTAGGATTACTAGTATTATATTTATAAAACCAAAAACTACGTAATATTCTCTGTAAGGACAGTGTTGGTGGTATGTTATCAGAATAGATCTTTGCCAGCTCTAATTTCTAAGATCCTTTATTTAAGCTGTGGACAGAACATCTTATTCTGATGATCAGAATACAAGAAGCAGCACCCCTGTCTAAATACTTATTGGAAATAAATGTAATACTGAACAAAGCACTCAAGAACACGTTGTACGGAACAGTCCTGCACTGGGAAAGGACTCACAAAATGAAATATTTATAGGTCTTTCCCATCTCTAATTTCTGTTAGTATTTCAGCAAACAAGGAACATGGGTTCTGCAGCTTGGCTCTCTGTAGACTATTAGCAGATGCTACTTTTTAAGAATTAGAGATAGGACCCAGGAGCCAAGGATCTCCAAAGTACCATTCTCCATTGACCAACTGGGCAACTCCATGAAATCTATCAGTGTTAGGTAAATGAGACCCTTGTTTTCCGTTTTACTGAAAAATTTCCAGCTTTTACAAAAGCTACTATTTTTACCAATTTTCACCCAAATTTGTACTGCTCAAGTACATGAAAATATTGATTATGTTAAGACAATCCAATACATTACATTAGGTAGACACAGTTATGTTAATAATAAATTAGTCTAAGTGTAAATGCAAGGCTGTCAGATAAAGAAAGAAAATGTACTGGAAGAGATGCACACACGCACGTGCATGTGTACATTCTGTTAATGAGCAGTCCATGAAATAAACCACAGCATTAAATTACTTAATACTCTTACTTTTCTCTATTTGTGGCTTTTTTCTCTCTTCTCCCACCTCCAACACTAACCTCAATATTTACCCAGAGAACTGTGCATCCATTTTCACCCATTTTTTAAAATTTTTGTAACAAACACTGGTAACTTTCTGAACTTTAAAAAAACAACAACTGAAAATGAAAGGCCTTGTAGGTAGGTAATGGTAGATTCTTTTGGGCAAACAACGAATACATTGCTGGACTGTCAAGTGCCTCTCAGAGTATCAACAATGTCAACTGTGGTCCATGCTACCCCTCAGGACAGGTCCATGACTTATTCAAAGATGTCACATGATGGTGCCTTAGCACTATTTACTGCATCTGAAAGATCTACTTGAAAGCTTGTCAATGCTGCTTCTGATGCAGGTTCCTTAAAAGGTAGCTTTCAATTCAGCACTGCTTTGCCATTTAAAAGACAAACTCCATTTACTTAAATTAAAATTAAACATTAAAAAAAACCTTCTAGTGCAGGACCACCACAAAAATTAAATGGCTCTGAAACACTCAAAATACCAGCTGAGGATGATAAACAGAAGAATGTTTAAATATCAATTCTCTAATATATTTGTGACCTGTCTGTAAGTCTTATAACTTATGTTTATTCAGACAAGTAGCTTTTTCAGTGGGTGAATTGATATATTACCGAAGTTATTTAATTGTTTCTTGATAATCGTAGTGCCAGAATGGTACGTTTTAATTAAAAATTGAGTCATGTTCTGCACTGCCCTATGGGAAAGCCCACAATTCGATGCCTAGGATGAATATCATTCTTCAGGTTGAAAGGGCTGGGAGCGAGTGTTTTCAGTCTCTCAGAGAGCAAGGGATGCGGAAGAGCAGGGTTAGTGGATTTTAAGAGACTCTGATTCAACTATGGTTGGCAAGAACCAGGCCCCCCCTCAGTGATAGACAATATAAATCAAGAAGAGATACTAAAGGCCAGGATGTGGAGGAAAGCAAAAGCCCCATTCTATACTGATATCACAAAGTCACGAGATCTGGTTACAACATGGTCAAAGGTTATAGTTCAGATGAGACCTAACTGTGGCCCCTTAACCATGCTAAAGCCTTATACTTTCCAAGGTTTTAGCCTTGTTACCAGGACATATACCACACTATAAATAAACCATATTGTGATTTAATACCCTAACTAGTTACAGTTTTAGTGCAGATGGGACCTACATTGCATACTAACCCCTGTTCCTCTTCACAGCTATTCACTTTACCGCTTGATAAAAGAACAATTTGGCAGGCCATTTTATTTTAATCTCACATCTAATATGGTTATATAATTTTAAGAACTCTGGAGGCCATTCCTTCTGCTTTAGCCTGAGGATGAAGTTATTGATCTTAAAAACACTTTACATTGCAGTGCAGATATAGCAATGCTAAAGCCAGGGTTTTGCTACTGATTCTCCATTTGTAGATTCCCATTTGTCAGAACCTCGTAATTCCATGATAAGGATTCCCTCACCAGTCTGAAACTTGGCACAAGCTCTCAGCTCAAGAATCATCCATTGCATTACATTTATGAAATGTTTCAGCCTCGTTACAAAGTTTATAAGAGTTAGGGGGGAAAAAAGCTTTATTCTTACTCTTGCATCACCTCTCCAAGCTCATCATTAGAAGCAAGCTCCCGACACTCCAGGATACACTAATTCAAAGCGGCACCAGACCCTGCCAGAGCAACTGATTCAAAACCTGCAGACATATCTCCACTGCTACAATGATCAACACCCTCCACAACACAGCTTTCAAGCTCCATATGTCCTTCACATGCCTATCATAACATGTGGCATACTTCATCCATTGCACTAAATACCCCAATAGCAAATATGTGGGTGAAACCAGACTTTCACTACGCTCTCAAATGAACTCACACAGGAAAATGACAAAAGACAAAGACATCATCTGAGAGTGAACACTTTCCAAAAAGTGATCACTCTATATCTGACCTACCAGTCCTCATTCTCAAAGCCCGAGAGCCGGAGAGCTTCAATTCATAACTTTGCGAGACATTAAAAATCATGGACTGAATAGAGGCACTGGATTTGTGGCCTATTACAACAATCTATAACCTACTAACTACCTCCCCTCCCTGCCTCCTTTCCCTCTTATATCTGGAGTGGTGTTAATGGGCCACTTCACCTTGCATGATCCCTTGAAATGTATGTTAACTACCTGTGCTAAACACACTGTTCCACCCTGTATTGAGCTGTGACACTCTGATTAAGTTTCCCAGACCTGAAGAAGAGCTCTGTGTAAGCTCAAAAGCTTGTGTCTCACCAACAGAAGTTGGTCCAATAAAAAATATCACCTCTTCCACCCAGTCTCTCTAATATCCTGGGACTAACACGGCTACCACCACACTACATACTATAAAAGACACACACACACACTCATCAATTGGGGATTGGTCCTGCTTTTGAGCAGGGGGTTGGACTTGATGACCTCCTGAGGTCCCTTCCAACCCTGATATTCTATGATTCTATGATTGATCACTTCCCAAATAAAAAGTACAGATAATATTTAAGAGTTACATTTTGTCGCCATTCTAAATTCTTTAAGCTTTTTTAAGCCTCAGAATATATACCATATACTAGGCCTTCAAAACTTGCCCAGTTCTGGGACTTATGTTAGTAGAAGTCCAGCTGTGAGAAATTACTAAAAAACAGAAGGAGTTAATACTCCAAGAATCTACCAAAGGACATAATAGAATTAGAAACCAGGCCAGGTCACAGTATCAGAGAAGCAATTGCATCTTCACCACACACAATCTTGGGGTGGCAAAGTGGGGAACGAGGGGACTATTAGTAGTACATAGCACCAATAGCAGGTTTTGTAGTACTGAGATGGCAAAAGTGGAGAAAAGGGTGAAATGAGTTGCACAGAAAGTGCAGAGAAAAGAGACAGAAAAGTCCTATGCCTCCTATGGCACCAAAAGGGGGAATGGTTTCAGTGTTGGTATAGTTGAGTTGGTCCCAGAATATTAGAGAGACAAGATGGGTGAGGGGATATCTTTTATTGGACCAACTTCTGTTGGTGAAAGAGAAGTTTTTGAGCTTACACAGAGCTCTTTTTCAGGTCTGGGAAAGGTACTCAAAAAGTGTTTGAGGTCCAAGAGAAAATGTGACTTTACCCACCTTGTGTCTCAAACATTTTTAAAGACAGATGTAGCTTGCATAGTTTGGTGGTCTAGTGTGAACAGGCATTTTCTTTTTTCAATTTAAATAACCATGTTTTGCCATAAATAAACTATGTGTCAGGGACCACAGATCACAGAATATCAGGGTTGGAAGGGACCTCAGGAGGTCATCTAGCCCAACCCCCTGCTCAAAGCAGGACCAATCCCCAATTTTTGCCCCAGATCCCTAAATGGCCCCCTCAAGGATTGAACTCACAACCCTGGGTTTAGCAGGCCAATGCTCAAACCACTGAGCTATCCCTCCCTCCTCTGGTCCCTAGGGCTCTTAGAGGCTAGTAAGTTCCAATTTGCTATCCAGTGACCTGTTAGCAGATGCCAGAATAGAAGCTGAACTCTGACAGAGGATTGCAGGCCTGGAATCTAATTGGCAGAATGCTGGCAGTCCTTATTGATTCACAACTTCTTTATAAACCCAGCACAGGAACAGGAAGTTGTCCATGCAACTGGGATCTCCCTGCTTCAGACTGTTTCCCCTGCAATACCTGCTCCTTCTACTTGCTACTGATCTGGTAACCTGACCCTGCCTGTCTCCTAATACCTGACTCTTGGTTTTGGCCTCTGTTTGCCTTGGATTCTGACCTCCAGGTATTGGACCTGGCTTGATTCCTGACTCCTGCTCTTACCATGAGGTCAGACCACCCATGCCCTGGTTGTGACACCATGATTGCCAAAAATCAGGCTATTTCTTTGATGGATAAAAGCACTTGGCCATTGTCTTTGTCTGGAACAAGACTGCAGCCTTCCATTTCCTTCTGGCAGCTGGTTGGCCAAGCTTGTGAAAGCCTGCACTCATCTCAGTTGCATTTCTCTGTCTATATGTAACAATAACTTTTGAACCCTGCATCTAATCGATTCCAAATGTTTAGGGAAGGTTCTTGGAATCAGTGGCCAGAACTCTATTGACTTCTG